TTGAATTAAATCAAATCAAACTGAAAATCCCCCCTTGTTACTATTTATATAAAAGAAAAGTATTCCTTTCCCTGTGGATACGAACCTTACTTCACTATACTACGTATTAGTGCTGTATTGATAAATTATTTTGAGTGCACCTCACGACAAGTGCACGTCACTCTATAAACATAAATACAGGCCGGATGGCTCTCTTGAATGTCACAAAGCTCGGTTAGTGGTTAATGGGAACTCACAACAGGTTGGCATTGACTATGATGAAACTTTTAGCCCGGTTGTTAAGCCCACTACAATTCGTACGGTACTTACATTGGCCCTGTCGCACAATTGGCCGTTACACCAACTTGACGTGAAGAATGCCTTTCTTCACGGTCATCTCAAGGAAACTGTGTTTATGCATAAACCTCCGGGCTACCTTGATCATTCTCGTCCATCACACGTTTGTCGTCTCCTCAAGTCCCTCTACGGCCTTAAATAAGCCCTTCGGGCTTGGTATCACCATTTTGCTACATATCTCACTACAATTGGCTTCTCTCATAGTGCATGTGACCACTCCTTATTCATTACTCAACAAGGCAGTCACATGACATATCTTTTGTTGTATGTTGACGATATAATCATCACGGCTTCTTCAAATACATTTCTCCAGCAAACTATTTCTTATCTTGCGAAAGAATTTGCAATGACTGATCTAGGGCCCCTTACATACTTTCTAGGTATTTCCGCCACACGCCATCATGATGGCCTATTTCTTTCTCAGTCCAAATATGCATCCGAAATACTACAACGGGCCGACATGCTTTCTTGCAATCCTACTACCACCCCCGTCGATACACACTCCAAATTGAGTGCTTCGGCCGAGCCGCCGGTAGAGGATCCCACTATGTACCGTAGTCTTGCGGGGGCGCTACAATATCTCACATTTACTCAGCCCAATATCTCTTATGCTGTGCAACAAATATGTCTTTTCATGCATGACCCGCGTGAGCCTCATCTTCATGCCTTGAAACGAGTTCTACGCTACGTCAGAGGCACTGCACATCTTGGCCTTCATCTACGGCCATCTCCTGTCACAGACCTTGTCGCCTATACCGATGCTGATTGGGGCGGTTGTCCCGACACTCGCCGCTCCACCTCCGAATATTGTGTTTTCTTGGGCGACAATTTACTTTCTTGGTCCTCTAAATGCCAACCCACTCTGTCCCGTTCCAATGCTGAAACGGAATACCGAGGTGTTGCTAATGCGGTTGCCGAACTTTGTTGGTTGCGAAACCTGTTGCTTGAACTCCACCATCCGCATCACAAAGCTTCCGTTGTATACTGTGACAATATTAGCGCCATTTATCTCTCCAGCAACCCCGTCCAACACCAATGTACTAAACATATTGAAATGGACATCCATTTCATTTGGGAAAAAGTAGCCCGCGGACAAATCGAGGTACTTCACGTTCCGTCTCGACATCAATATGGTGATATTTTCACTCAAAGGGCTGCCTCGCATTTTGTTCGAGGATTTCTGATCCAGTCTCAGCACTCGGACTCCTCCTGCTGCAATTGCGGGGGCGTGTTAAGTTACACATGCATGGCATGCATACGCATGCATGGCACGGCCGATCAACGCCGAATCTCATCACTTTTATTCCCATAATTATATTATGTATATTATTCATATTATATTTGCATATATTTAGCTACCTTATGTGGCACATACGTTATACGCACTACTAGCTCTAATTAGTTACCTTGTATATATTCTTACTATTATTGGTGGAGAGATCAGTGCTTCTCCAATTATAACATCCGAACCAATAGGGTAACGGATGTTCATGTAACTTGTATATATATTGATTGGATCAATACGAAAACATCACGGTGAAAATTCACAAGCTCTAATTCTATTTAATATAAATAATTAATACACAAATACAAAGATATTTAATTAGATTGGACACCATAAAATATTCCCAACAAAAGTTATCCCAAATCAAATTATTAAATTATGATGTTTACAATTCTATAATAATAATCGATTAAATATGTTAATCGTCAATAAGTTATTTGCAAATATCAAATTAAAAGTGTTGCAACTATATAGATCGGTGATAAAATTATTTTGCAACTAAAAATGCTCAATATATTTAAATTAGTTATTTAACACCATAAATTTAAATTTGTGAAAGAAAAATATAAGTATATGGTGCTAAGATTACTTTTTTTTAAAGCTTGGGGTGTTTTATTTTACATATACAAGTTTGAGATGTTTATCTCACACTCGTCTATAGTTTGGAGTATTTAAATTATTTCTTTCCTACAAATGCATGTGAACAATAAATATATTTTTGTTCCAATTTTATGTGACGTAAATCTCATGCTCTGAAATGTTACTCGCTGCTACAAATATAATCTCGGGCAATGACAAATGTAATTGGTGCACTGAAATGTAACTCATGTTACTTTTTTCCAAGGGTTATTCTCTCACCTTCTATATATGACATGTAAATTGAGTGCATGCAAAATATAACTTTAGACAAATCGAGATGTAATTTGCATGTATTTGAAGTGTAACTTGTGATAGTCGAAATGTAAATCGCATACTGCATAATGTAACTTGAGACAAGTCAAAATGTAAACCGCGTTAATGGAAATGTAACTTGAAACAAGTCGGCGTATAAATCGTTAATGAAAATGTAACTTGAGCTAAGTCGAAATGTAAATCGCCTAAATGAAAATGTAACTTGACACAAGTTGAAATGTAAATAGTCTTAGTAGAAATATAACATGAGATAAGTCAAAATATAAGTTGTCTAATATAAGATACTCTGTGTATAGTTTGAAGAAAACTGTCAGGCTTTTAAATACAAATATGATTTTTTATTATATATAGATTAATAAAACTTATCTTTAAGTTAATTCAGAAGAAATGAATAGAGAAAAAATGGAAGAGTCGACGAAGGAGATAATTGAATAGATAACTAAAAAAGGTAAATAGATGACTGATAGATCAACAAAGAAAAAGGAATAGATGGCCGGACAAATCGACCATGAGGAGGAATATGTGATCGTTTTAATTCAGTATTACCTCAGTCCCGCTTAATGATTCCCATTATAAAATGACACGGTTATTTAAACAATAATTAAATAAGATCATTCGAGTATATTTTGAGAAATAATTTTGATGAGCATATAATATATAATGAAGTCATTGATGATAATTGTGATGTTAAAGATGTATCATAGAGTATATTTTAATACTTGATGATTAAATTGTCATTTAAAAATGTTATTATTTCTTAAAATATACTACATTCGTAATGTAAGATGCACTTTAGTTTGGTGTCGCTTTTAAAAAAGTAAAGGACAAAGTGGTTGTTTTACATTTCTATACTCTAAAAAGTACTACCTTCGTCACAAAATAATTAGCCAAATCCAAAATTTTGACCAACAATATACGTTTATTGGAAATTATTTATAATATGAAAATGATCTTTGTTAAAAGTAATTTCATAAAAGTATAAAATTTATAACTTTCATTATAATATACTAACCAAAATTATGTTCCAAATTTTAAAATTTCTGATGGATAGTGTACCCGGGGGTAGCTTATCCGAGGGGTTATTACGGTGAATAACCTAGAGAGAAGTCAGAACAATACGTAAGAGAGAGAAAGTGTATTCGAATATGTGAACTTGTGATGCTTTACAATTGAGAATGAGCTGCTATTTATAGCAGCAATAAATGCTAGACGAGGACACGTGTCAAGCATCTGACGGCCGAGGGTCACCTCAATCGGGGTGGCACCGGCATTTACATGTGCGCCACATTAAATGCGATGGGTGGATGTGACGCCGCATTGAATGCGGCTATTTGCTTGTCTCTAAAGGAAATCTTCGATGTTTGTGCTGTAGCCGGAGGCTTCCCTGTGGGTGAGAGCTCTATGTAGCCGAAGGCTACCCAAGGCTCCTCTGAGCAGAAGGCTTATGATTTTGCCGCCTTCTCCCATTAGCTTTGTATGTAGAAGGTCAGTTGTTTCTTGGAGTTTAGAGCCCTCGACCATGGGGCCGAAGGCATCCGTACGTGCACCGTGGGCTTCTTGACACTTGGGTCGTTGCGCTTTGGGCCTCTTATGCTTCCCGGGCCTGCTGTGCCTGTGTTAGAGTAGTAGGAGTCTGTGGGCCGAGGATCCCTGGTCCATATACTCCATCAATTTCGCTAAATATTTTGGGACGGAGGTAGTAATAAATAGTAAGATGAGTCCACCAAAAAATAAAGAATGAGATGGTAAATAAAGAGATAAATTGAGAAAGTACAAAGCTAGTAGAATATAATTTAAGAAACTAATCATATTTTTGAAACAACCCAAAAAGAAAAATATATATTACTCTCCAAAATAGGACAAAGGAAATAAATGAAAACCAAACTAGGAAAGTGGAAAAGGGAGGTGTATAACCAATTTATCATGCAAATGGTATAATGGTCCTGTTTGTTTTTTGGCGGAAAACCGATGCAAAATGTTGCGTTTTCATTTGGAAAAACGGTGATCGAAGCCAATCCGCTATTAACCAATTTGCAGTCAATTACCTATTCTTTTTAGGAAAAAGGTGCAAATAAGCACACGTACTAACAAAAAAAGTTCAAATAAGCCCTTATATAGGAGACTATGTTAGTCCGTTGTTATTTGGGGCGGTTCCCGGTGGAGATTTTTAATGCAATTTTTTGAGCATATTATTCATTAAGTCTAGTTTACTCATACCAAATTTTAGCTAACAATCCAATTGGGAAGGCATTCAAATAAAATCTTTAAGATAACTGCGTTTTTAACTGCGCACTTATCTTCAAGAATTCATTCAAAAATTCTTGAAGATTCTCAAAAAATTTCATCAAAAAATTGCACTGGAAACTGTCCCAAATGGCGATGATCGGACAGGATATCCGATATAAGAGTTTCTTTGACCTTTTTTTGTTAGTAACTCATTTGCCTTTTTTCCTTCTTTTTACATACCATTTTCTTTGGTTTTACCAATTTGATAATTTGGCCGGTCTCAAACTTGGTTATTGCCGAGTTTGTGTGTATATAAGCCTAGACAAAGGAGGGTTTAGGGTTTAAACCCTCTGCTTGTGCGTTGAAAATTAAAGACGGAAAAAATGGTGGCAGATAAAGGGAAGAAGCAGAAGGTGGGAGAGAAAGTGGAGAACCTTGACAACGGTCTTGTCCTTTCAATTGAAAAGCTTCAGGAGATCCAAGATGAGCTGGAGAAGGTACGCCTAATTCATCTGTTTTCGTTACTGATAAAAGGTCTGATCCCCGGGGATCAGGAACTCCACCCAGCTACAACCTATTGACAGTAGTAGCTTTCCCACTATGGCTTTGTATGAGCAATTGTACAATTAGAACGAAAAATCGCATTTTTCTTGCAAAATTGTACTCCCCGTTATTCTCCCACAATCCACTGATTTGAAGATTTTATAGTTCTCTATCTCAGAGTCCGTGAGTTCATTTTTTGTTCTTTTTTCAACATGAGTGCAGTCGAAGTGTAGTGTACTGCTTATACATCTTAGTAAGTGTGTACAGTTTTATGCATGTCCATTCCTCACCTCTTTGTTGCAGTTAATGTGCACTTAAGCACATATTTACGACTTGAAGAATGAAGTTCACATGTGGTGTGAGTTAATGAGTTATAAACCCAGCAAGGAGAAATTGAATAGCTTTTTGTGCATGTTAAATTTTAAAATGATTTCTTGATTGGGCTTTTGTTTCTATCACAGATAAATGAAGAAGCAAGTGATAAGGTCTTGGAAGTAGAACAGAAGTATAGTGAGATTCGCAAACCCATCTACCAGAAGCGAAATGAAATAATTAAACATATTCCAGACTTTTGGCTGACAGCTGTTAGTTACTCGCCTCTTCTATTATGTTTGAAGTCTTAAAACTTTATTTAAAGTGCATTTTTCTTGAACTAGTTAACTACCGATTTTTGCAGTTCTTGAGTCATCCAGTCATTGGTGAGCTTTTGACTGCAGAGGACCAAAAGGTATATAGTTGGATTCTTTTTCCTAATTCTTGATGTGGTTACCAGAAGTGTCCCTGCATTCTTTTTTTGTGACTATTCATCGACAGTTTTCGGGATGCTTAATAAAGGAACTTCTGTATCTAAGAGTTTTTATTTTTTGTGCAATTGTGCAAGATATTCAAATTTTTGACTTCTATTGAAGTGGAGGACTCCAAAGATGTCAAATCTGGCTACACAGTCACATTTGTGAGCCCCTCTATATCTCTAGTTGCCTCTCTCTATCAACTTCTATGGTTTGAGATTGTTTGTAGATGTTACTTCTCCAGCACATGCTTCTCATGTTCTCCTTCTTTACCAGAGTTTTAAGCCCAACCCCTATTTTGAAGATACTAAGCTCATGAAGAGCTATACTTTCCATGAAGATGGCACAACAAAAATTACCGCCACCCCAATCAAATGGAAAGAAGGCATGGTGAGTTGTTGCATTCTTTTATTTCTAGCACACCTGCATCTTTATCCCGAAGTCTTTCTGATTGCTTACTGTAATTGCCCTGCGAAGGAAATCCATAATGGAGTTACTAATGAGAAGAAGGGAAATAAGCGTCCTCCACAGGAGGAAAGGTCTGTCTACTTTACTGTCAATTTTCTGTTGTATTTGTCACCAGCTTTTCCGATTTTTAGACACAGCAGAACCAATTTAGCAGACATTCTTTCCACTGTATTCCGTAGCCTGTTTGTGGGAAATGAGGAGAAAGTCAAATTATTATAATTCTTATTGAATAATCTGGATCAGGAGCAACATATTAATTTAATTAAAATGAATTTCTGCGTAACCAAACCTTACAGAGTGTATAATTTAGTGAAGAAGGGAAGGGTAACTGCTTTTTAATTAACGTAAATCATAATTAAACCTTATGAAGTGTATCGTTTATTGATGGCGGTAAGTAAAGCAGTTATTTGGATCCAGATTGACACGTAGGCCCTAATAGAGATTGAGGAACTGAGGAGGCAAACCTTCTATGAAGCTCTCTTCAGACACAAAGTGATTGTGTGCAAGGTCCAAAATTGCGTATTGCGCAGACGTGGCAAATTTTTTGAATTGCATATTGCGTAAGCCTCATTGTGCAATGAGGCGTATGGCTGAGGCGTAAATTGTTAAAGGTGAAATTAAAGGGATCTGTTAATATCAGTACATCACAAATAGTTAAAGGTGAAGTTAACATCACAAATCATATTAATAATATATGGAAACTTAACCGCTGGTACATATGAGAAGTGAAAACAGAAAAAACCTACTAATATACACAAGCTTAACTGTTGGTAAATACTACGGGGTAATAAAATATTACTCCCTCCGTCCCCCTATTATTGGTACGGAAGGGAGTGATGTGGTTTTTAAGAAAAGTAGAATCGTGTGGTTGATAATGAGTTGATAAAGTGGAAATAAAGTAAGAATGAATTAGAGCCACACAAATGTTACCAAATATGGTATGGGACAATAATAAAGGGACACCCAAAAATGAAAAAATGGGACACTTATAGAGGGACGGAGGGAGTAATATGTAGGAAATATTAAAAGTTGTAGTATACAGAAAATTAACATTAATAAAACAAAATGAAAAGGAGGAAATATTAAAAGTGGAAGTATAAAAACTGAAAGAACATACATAATGATTTGCTGAAACTTAAGCACAGAGAAGTGGCTAACTGTAGAAGATGAGGTCCTTTAGTCGACAGACAAAGAAAGCTGAAGAAGTGGCGAAGCGGGGAGAAGGCGCAGCAAAGACTGAAGAAAGCTGAAGAATTGTTTAGATAATAATGAACTTATATCACGATGTACCCTGAAGTTTGAACCGGTCATGTATTTTACTAAAAAGTGGGCCCCGTGGGCCAAAAAACATTACACATCAAACTTCTTTATCGTACGCCATAACTACGCTTCATTGTGTAGGTTATATTGCGTATGCCTCAACACATATAACCTACGCTTCAGACCAGCCCGCCATCTGCAATGCAGTTTTACACAATACCCAGGGAAATAGGTGAGGCGCGCCATAAGCCTTTACGGCATTGCGCAATTGCAAACGTTGATTGTATGAGATTCAGCGTACACAATATAATGGTTGATAGATTTCAAACATAATGTCTAATGTTAGTATGTTACTATGTGACTAGAAAGCCTTTATTAGTTCGTTTCATTACCTTTGATTTGCATAATTGGGTTGTATCAGTAGTTGTTCTTATTGCTTGAGTTGTCCACACACACAAAATCAAAGTCTTGTCTGTTGCATTTTACCTACACAGGAAAAGTGAGGCGTCAGTTTTTCATATTTGCCGCTTGAACTGTTATAGCACCGATGCAATTTCTTTCTCATGAATGTGCTGTTTTCGTTGATCTGGACATATGGTCATAACTCATAATCATTGCGTCAATGTAATATTATGGCGGGTGTGGTTTTTTTAGACGAATGATCATTCTTGTTATATACTGAAATGTTTACGAACTTACTTTAGCTGAAGGGAAAATAAAGTTCCCTAATTCATTTACTTCCACACCCCTACCCTAAAAAAATATAAATGAAAGGACACTAAATGCTTTGTTTTCCATCAGTCAAGTGGTAATCTATAATTATATATCCTGCATGTAGATGGGGTAACATGTGAGTCTATGTTTGTACTTTTGAAATACACTATATTACACATTGGCTACTGTGGTTGCAGTTTCTTCACCATGTTCGTGGAAACACAGCAAAAAGATGAAGAAATGGATGACATGCGTGATGAGGTATACATTACAGCAGTGATTACAAGATTGTACTATCGTAAGGAGGGGTATCATGCCTTCTCAAGTTATTGTGGTGTCCAACCCTAACATGGCTCTTCTGTTAGTAAAAACATGTTGGATTCATTCTAAAAAAGAGGTTCAAGGGATCATATATCATGCACCTCAATTTTAGGCTTCTTCAAAAGATTGCATGATCTATGTTTACATTTTACTTACCTCACTGCTCTTTTTTCTGCGGTTTTAAGTGCACAGATACAACCTAGTATTTTGTTTCACAGGTTGCAGAGTTATTCAAGGAGGACATATGGCCTGACCCTCTATCTTACTTCAATAATGTTAGTTCATACATCATAGTCCTGCTCATTTTGTTCTTTATTGGTGAATGCTCTTTGGTCATGAACAGTTTGGTATATTGTGTCAATGTCTCCTTTTCCTTGGCAGCAAATAGCTGAAGATGAAGAAATTGAGGGCGGCGATTGTGAAGATGAGGTAAGTTATGATGACTAATTATCAAACCTGTAGGGCTTTTGTTGAATATATGAACAACAAACATTGTCATGAAAATGGTAAATGATTGGTTATCTTGAGGGGTAGGTTTGTTTCCAGAACTTCGAAGAAGAAAAATGAACCGCCTTTGAAGAAAATCAAATCAGTAAATAGTCCGAAACCGAATTCGAAAAACAAAACTGTGCTGCTCAGTTGCACTTGTGATTTCTACCCAGTGAAACTGAATGGCTCAAACTTCTAATGGAACTAGTAAAATGGATGTGGTAATAATGGTCAACCTTGAAATAAAATATTTGGCATTGGGTTTTTTATTTATGATGTTAATATTTAGTTACTAATAGTTTGTTTTTAAATTGTATTTTTTATTTGCTAACTTGCTGCATTAAAAAGTTTCTTATTACTGAACTGAGGCACTAAAAGGATGTTTTCTTCTGCTGAGTTTTGTTGCATTTTGGATAATAGTTTGGAACTTCTGATAATAGTTTTAATTTTCTGTTTTGCAATATCCAGAATAGTAAAACAGCGATTGCTGCATATTCAGATTTTATTACAGTATAACATTGAGATTTAATTTTTTATGAAAAAACCCATTCTTTGGTTGTGTGACTAATCGGTCATTCTCATTTTTATCCAAAAGGACCAAATGTCCACTTTCTATTTTATTTTGGTGAATTCATGTGCTTTTGCCACTTTTGGTCCTTTCCGGCTGATTATCCAGCAATCATGAACTGGAAAGTGTAGGGATATTGATTGTATAAGTAACTGGAAGGATCTGAAGAGGCAAGAAACCTATAAGCGTGGGACCAAAAGTCCAAAAGCGACAAAATGAAAGCTGTGGATCAAAATGGCGACCGACCTAATTGCCATGGGACCTAAAGTGCAATATTCTGTTTTTCGAAATTATAGCTTTGCAAAATTAACAAATAAGAACAGAGGCTAAACAAACTGAACTTACCAATTGCGGTTAATAACATGAAACAAAAAAGCAAACCAAATTTAATAATCTATTTCAGTTTGGTGTCCGGATTCGGTCAATAATGAACTCACCCTTGGTAATCTTTAGACTATTGGCTCTTCAATAGGAACCCTGAAATTAGGATTTATTATTATTATTGTAGTAAGAGTAATCATCTACTTAGCTGTTTTGGAAGTCGGTTGCTTTTAAATTATATGGTTAGATTAGCAAATATTGGTGGTGCAAGTCACAGTATTCATGACCAAGGGTTTATATTCAAAATTGTTTCATGTCTTGCATAATCCGAGGGTTGAAAAATAAAGCTGAAGTAAAAGCCCAATTTAGCGATTCCATCACAGCAAAAATGAATTTTTAATTGCAGTCTGCCATATTTATACCCATTTCTACCTCCTAGTCCTGACCAATGACCATTACTTGAGATCCTTCGTAGGATCGTGTAGCGAAATAAAAATTGTAACTCGTAAGATCTTAGAGTGCTATATATAGTGTATGAGTGTGTATATGTGTGTATATCTATGTACTTAAAAATAAAGTTATTTATAAAATATATAAATATTTTAATCCCATATTCAGCACACACGTATATATAATTCGTTGAGTATCCAAGATAAAAACAATGAATTGTCATGCAGAAATATTCCCCACTCGTGACTTCACCAACATTGGTAAAACAAGCCTGGCCTTAAAAATTCTACCACTTGATATTTTACTCCCCTGAATTTGAATACTTTCACATTTTGATGTTTATGAAACTGCGGTAGCAATTGAAATGCATTTCTACTGTGTTTACGACTTTGTACGAGTGGTGGGATTATTTGACTACCATGAGTCCATGACTGGTATTACCTGGGGGCTGGGGGTATGATAGAATGTAGTTGAGTTATGTGGGGTTAAATCAATAAAAAGATGTACTGAAGCAGATGTAAAAGCCAGTGGTAGCCTATAGGTGTATGTGGACTATTGTTCTGAATTCTACGATGTATTGCAGGAGGAGAGTGATGACTCTCAAGATGATGATAAAGAACAAGATGGAGATGAGGATGGTGATGAAGAAGATGAAGAAGAATAACATTTTCCTATGTGCTTTTAGTGACGGACTCAAGTTATCTACGTTTACGTTTTACCCTGTTTTCTAAAATATTGTGACTATGTAATAGGGGATGTTAATTAGAAACCCAAGTACTGGGAAATGATTTGAGTTTCTTTTTTATGTAGGGATCAAATCATATTAGCGGTCCTTGGTTTTATTTTGGCATTCAGTACAGATATAACCATGGAATGGGTGCAATGTTGAAATGTTGCATGTTATACATGGCACACTAAAAGCCCTTTTGGCAACATTGAAATTTTGATTGAATTGGTTCAATTTGTTCAAATAGGGGAAAATAAAGGAAAAAAATAGCATTATAAAAAAATTAAAATACACTCTTTGATCCATTTTATGAGTTATTCTTTTCCTTCTTTGTCTAAAAAAGTCAAGAAATGTGACCTTTTTTGAAAAGAAATATGTGATCCACAATAACTCACTTTATTATTATATTGAAATTACAATCATAATTTTTACCTTTTTAATGACTATTAATAATCGTAGTATCTTATTAATTAAATAATTGGAATTTTATCAATTCGGGAGTCGGGACCTGAAAGATAGACAAACTATCAATTCGGGATCTGAAAGATCAAATGTATGGGTATAGGATCCGAATGATAAAAAACTATTAATCTAAGATTCGAATGATGAAAAAATATCAATTGAGGACCTAAGTTTTCATAAATTTTATTGCTATTTTTATTTTAAAAAAATTAAATAAGATATAGTTTTATTAAACTAATAAACTTTTGTGAAGAAAAATTTCATCAAATATTAGCAATGGAATTAATAAAAAATTAAATAAATCAAAACCTATGAAATGTTAGGTCTTTAATTGATAGTTTTTCATCTTTCGAGCCCTATACTGATACATTTAATCTTTCAGGTCCCGGATTGACATTTCGTCTATCTTTCAAGTACCAGATTGATAAAATTTCTTAAATAAAGGAAAACCTAAATGAAGCGAAATGAAGGCAACATATTTTTCTCCATCAAAATTTATCAATTTTATCAGAAAAGTAATTCTAAATAAACTTGAATAATCAAAATGGGAAAAAGTACAAATATACCCCTACAGTATGGGTGTTAAATATATGTTGAAGTTCATATATATCCCTGAACTTTTAAAAAGGTGCCAAAATATACATCGTGTTCTTATAAAGGAGCAATTTATTCTTATTGGCTTTAAATTGAAATAAATTTCAAAAAATACCAAAAATAAATTATAAATTCGAAATATAAAAATAAAAATTTTAAATATGTAATTGTGTCCAATTCTCCCCTTTATTGTTTTCATATTAAATTGTCCAATTCTCCCCTTTATTGTTTTTATATTCTCTCCTTTAATTTATTTCTGGTGTTGTTTGAAATTAATTTTATCTATTTAAAGTCAATAAGGGCAAATTTGCCCCTTTATTAGAACATGAGGGGTATTTTTGCACTTTTTAAAAGTTCAATGGTATATATGCACTTCAATATATACTTCAGGGGTATTTTTGTTCCGAAAAATAGAACATGAGTATATTTGTTCTCATGTACATACTAGAGAGTTATATTTGTACCTTTTCCCTAATCAAAATTGTTTAATGAAAAAGTTGGCTTACCGGTTCACAAGGAATTTTTGAGGGGCTTAGGACTGACCACTATTAATTCGGTTTTGAACCTTTCCTAGTCAAGCAGTCGGTCTTGGTTCCGATCTATTACGGTCTGATATATTTTGCAAAATAAATAAATAATTGTAACTATAAGTGTATAAGTACGTAATGATAACATCATATATATGCATTATTATGATAACTGGTTTTAAGTAGGAGTGGACTCGGGCCGGGCCAACCGGCCCGGAACCGGCCGGCCCGCTACTGTGCGGGCTCAGACTGGCCCGGTGAAACGGTTGGTGCCCGGTTCGGGCCACCCAGCCCGGTGAGGTAGGCGGTTCGGGCCTGCTAAATAGTGAATCGGCCCAACCGGTTCGGGCCAATTTATTTATTTTTTCTTTTTTTTTTGAATTTTTTTTAAGTTTTTGGGTTGGGCTGGGTATGATGGGCCATTTGAGGTGGTTTGGGGTGGTTTGGGGGTGAAGGGGGAGGGTTGGGGGTTAATTAGGAAAAGCCAAAAAAAAAATTACATGAACCGAGGCCCGGCCCGGCCCGGCCCGGACCGAACCCGGGGGTTACCCGGGCCGGTTCCGGGCCTCCCCTTTCATGAACCGAGGCCCGAACCGGAACCGGGCCCCGGCCCGAACCGGTCCACCCCTACTTTTAAGCACAATTTTCTTCTATTTGCGGTACAGCTGGTCCTGTGAGTAAAACAATCGCACAAACCAATTGAAACATGTTTTGGTTAATAATGATTTTACAATGTTTGTCTGGTAACTCTGAATTTAACAGCTATTGAGTTAAAAAAACCATGAGCTCAAAATGAAATCCATTTGACATGAAAATTCAAAACATATTAAATGTTGAGTTACAAGAAATCATTTCAAGCGCTGCACAAGATTTTGCCCCAAATAACAACAGCAAGGAAAGAAAAAAGTAACAACCCTTTCTAATTTTGAATGACCACATCTCTTTCTAAGAGAAGTCTGGAAAAAAGGTAAGGGTTACTTAGTAGGCATGTGTAAGACACAGCGCAAACATTTTCCTTGTGTCATCAAATCAAAAGCTTTGTTTATTTCCTCGAATGGCAGATTATGCGTTATCAGCTCATCAATGTGGATTTCCTGTGTCCAACGCAAGAAATATAGAATTAGACGAACAATTATCTAATGAATTTCACATGGCCTTGATTCTACTATATTAAAAGAATCCGCCAAACAGCAGCTTCTAGGCCCTTAGATCGACAACAGTCGGGGGATTAACTTACGCACAGCAAATTACAGACCACTAGTATGATAAATCAAAGCTACTAATATCTACCAAAAAGGTCCATCACGATTGCTGGGCGTAAAAGTTAAAACATCTAGATTAAATTTTACCTTGTTAAGGTACATGTTGACTAATGATGGGATGTCAGACTTAGGTTTCCAGCCACCAAAAAGAGACCCTGTCAATCTTCTACCGGTAAGAAAAAATCGAAAGTGACCGCTTATCTCCGGCTTCGTCTTTGGTACTCCAAGGGTCACAGTCAAGCCCCATCCCTATGGCATGCAAAATGATAGAAAGGGATGACAATTTTTTTGAGCAAAAAAGGGCTGTTTGTAAATGTTTGATGTGTATACCACAGCTTCATTGGAACTTACATCACAAGAAGATTGCAAAGCAGTGGTTACCATATCTGTATCCCCTATACATTCAAAACAGAAGTCTGCACCTCCATCAGTCAAACGCTTTATTACCTGGCAAATGGAAGAATTGTCTTTACAAGCAGTCAAGCACAGCATCTTGAAAATCTCTTCCTGCCACGGCTGCCAGACCCCAATTATTATACCCACCCATCTAGGTGCTAGGCTCTGATTAGTTCCTTACGCTTTTTTTCTTGCTTAGGCCCCTGATCAGTCTTCGATCAGGTGTTGGGCCCCGGTCTGCTGCCTAGTGAGCATGTATTGTCAAGCATGTTTTTTAAAATCATTTAATAGATTTTGTTCACACAGTGCATATTTGGAATTTCCATCATTTGCAATGGAGCCAAAGATTCATTATTTTTTGGCTTGCGATTATGATGGAATAAAGCAAAATGGCTCACTAAACTGTTTGCGCTTCTTTGTTATGAAGCAACAGTCAGTTCATGCAATTTTAGACAGGATTTTCACTATGGGTCATCCGGAAACATTCTCTCTGTGCTTTAGTACAGGGGTAAAACTGCGTACATCCGACCCCCCCTTACCCCACCGTAGGTGGGAGCTTTTGCGGCACTGGGGTAAATGAAAATGAAAATGAAATGAGTGCATATTTGGAAGTGTAATATACACACCTCTTGAATAGGTTCAGCAGTGTCGTTTGGGTTTAAAAAGTCTGTTACTCCAAATTCCTTGCCTATTTCTCTCTTTTGCGGATTAGTGTCCACTCCAATTATTTGAGACGCTCCCCGCAGTTTAGCACCTTGAGCTACCTACTCAATGAATGAAGCCATGAACTATCATCCTGCTGTACTGATAAAAACTTATACCTTAAATACTGATAAATGGGATGATATAAATGAATAATAAACTCACAGAAAGGCCCACAGTTCCAAGACCAAAGATAGCAACTTTAGATCCTTGAGAAACATTAGCAACATTCCATGCAGCTCCAAGACCTGGTAATGGGTAATGCACACTTCAAAATCCCCCAGCAATTACCAACAAAAAATGACTATGATAATAGCAAGGTTTTGTGATAAACCACTGCCGAAGAGATGGTGTGAAAGGCACCAATACGAAAAATCCAACTTATGAGTAATGTTGGGGGGCTCAGAGAGGCACTGCCATAGCCCATAGGTGTTGATTTTGCAATATATTGTAGAATTTGAAGGCACGTATGCAATGCTTCCCTTCAGACATAATTTGCCACAGAAGAAGTGCAAAGGGTCCTAATTATTACTCCCTCAATCCCAAATTCCCAATATGATTTCCGAAGCCTATTTTTCTTGGTCAACACACTTTGGTTTATTTACTTATTATGTATATCATTTTTTATTATATTTAGATTTGGATTTTGCAAATTTGTAGAGCTTTGTAATGTAGTTTCAAAATATGTAAATTTTAATTAGTAAAACTGATATAATTATCTTCAGGGAAGATTTAACTTTATCGTCAGTCAATTTTAAAAACCGCAAAGTTAGTAAGAAAAGTGGGTTTATGTGGTTGATATTGAATTGATGTTTACCTCATACATATATACTAGACTAAAATCTAGTAGACAAATGTGGTGGGATACTCTCAACACACCCCTCAACTGAAGGATGGACAGTTGGACCCCAAATATGGTGTCCTAAACCATCAGGTGAGCTGGCACTCCACCGGAGCTGACTCTATACAATGTTAAATTGGATTAACTCATGCTTTTTCGATCCTCATTACTCATACATATATCTTACACCTTTGTGAGCTTTTTCACATTCTCATTAATCTATGAATAGGGTCTGAGGGTCTGGTCTAGAAAAAAGGACTTAGTTATTAGAGAATAATAACTAACCTTGACACTTCAATAAGTAAAAGGAAGGACTGGGTTGATAAAAATTACCAGCAGCAGCACCACAACTGAGGATGCAGACTTTCTCGAGTGGAGCAACAGAACTAACCTTGACAGCACAGCCTGAGTGTACAACAGTATACTCACTAAAACTTGAGACGGCACAATAATGATACACGGGTTTCCCTTTAAGAAAGAAGCG